TAATATTATTAATCAAACCCTAAGCAACAGTACCCATCCGAGTCTTTGATAAAAAAAAACAAACAAAAAAAAAAACATTGTGAAATATTAGCACAATTCAAAATAACACTTCTAATAAAATAGAAGTTTCAAAAAGCCAAAATGCTCACTGGCTGAAAATATCTACAGTTTCTCTTGAAGACTGTTTTGGTGTAATCTGTGGTTTTGGGTTCACACTTTGGTCCCAAATTCAACATTAGTTACTATTTTAATCCGGTGTGTTTTATCGCACCTCCCATGAACCGAGTGTGTTTTCTGGGACTTGTCGTAGGTAAACCGCGTACGGACGGCTGGAAAGATCGTCTCTATTCCACCGCCGTCGAGGATTCAGAAAGCAAACACTCGGAAAGATGCACAAGAGACTTGCACCATGTCACGATATGTCACACGTCGGCTTTGATTCAACACTGGCAGACTTTCTGTCACACACTGTTGTCTTAGAGCGCGTATGCTAAAAGTATTCTGTGAGTAATCTCGGCATCACCTCAAAGCGCTTCGGTACATGAGAGCGAAACCGCACAAGACACATTTGTAAATTCCAGCTAGTCCAGGTCAAAGTTATATCAGTGATCCATATTTAGTTCTACACTAATTTGGTGTCTTTGCTGAAGATTTACCAAAGTAAAATGCTTTTTTGTGCCATGAAAATCATAATATTTTAAGTGTTGCAATGCTGTGAACCTTCCTGCCCCTTATAAACCTCATCAGGCTATACACCAATATCTGACCAGCGAGACCCAACACTTGACCTCAGCAAAAACACAACTTTTTATCCCGTTTAAATTCTCTAGCAAAGTAAATAGTGATGATTTCTCTCTTTTGATATTTATCGAACTAATATTAAATAACAGCAGCTAAATTATGTTTGTATCTCCAACACTACCATTCAAAAGATTATGGTCTTTAGAGATTTATTTGTTAATTGCGTTAGTTGACATAAACTAACAATGTGCACTACTTCAAAAGCAGTTAATAATCCTAGTCAATGTTCATTTTTAACTGTTCTAATACATTATTAATATGAGAAGTTGCATCTGTTAATAAAGGACCTCAGCTAACATGAACTAAAAGTTAAAAACATTAACAATGATTAATAAATGCAGAAAAAAAAATGTTGCTGACTTAAATTAAGTACAATCAACTTGGATGTTTAAGTCATTCCAACTTAAATTACATTAAACTGACTTAAATTAGTCGAATCTTGTGCAACTTTTTAAAAAGTTGAAAACTGCTTAAGTTATTTTGATGAGTTAAAGCAATGTAAAAACAAATGGTGTCATAACTTATTGATCATATTTTTTGTTCATTGTTAGTTAACACTATCTAATGGGACCTTATATCATTCTAAATCATTTTATTATGCTGATTGATTTGCTGCTCAAGAAGCATTTCACTGTAAAAAAAAATATTGTTGGTTTAACTTTAACCTGGTTGGCTTAATTTTAAGTTCATTGAAATGGAAAAAGTGAGTTAATACAATGAAATACGGTTAATCCGATTGATTTAATCATCAGAAACTCAAAATTATGTGTTATCTGAACTAAATAAATTATTTAAGTTGATTTGACAAAAGAAAAAAATATTGTGATTGATTACTAATCATGAAAAGATTTGTTTTACAGTGTATTATCATTAATCAGTTTCTGGTGGTTAATTTTTTTTGTGGAAATTAGCAGGGGCGAAAATTTCATCAAAATGTTGGGGGGGACAATAAACATAACAATTCTCAAGAGCAAATTTTGAAGGGGACACCAATAATACAGGCAAAAACATACAGAGGAAAGCCTTACTAGTGTAGCATGGAGACCATTTCATTATAATTCTTAAAGTTTCTTTCTGGTTTAAGCCAGCGGCGAATCTGTTTACATACTCTCCTCACGCAGCGCAGCGATTTCATTTCATTCATTGACTCATTATTTAACTATATTAAATGATATAAACCAACTAGATCACAGTGAAAGCGTTACAATATAAATGCACAGCGCACCCGGACTTTCTCATCAGTGAGTCTATGGCCAGCAATATTGTAATGTTTAATGACATGAAGATAATGTCTGTTCTAAGTTATTATTGTACTGTACAATTAAATATAATCGTTGCTGAGTTTGCATTCTGAAAACTTTACCTCAGAGCATCCGTTTACTGAATGAATTGAGAATCTCACCTGAAAAATCCAATAACACCAGCAATTGCATTCAAGCAGCTGATTTCTGTAAATAAATGCAAAACTAAATGCATATTGCAGCATAGGGCGAAGTCAGGATCCGTCAGCACCAATTTGAGACAAAAAATAATTTAAATTGTATATAAAACTATGTAAATGGCGCTCTGTGGCGCAGCAGGGTTTTGAACACGGTCCTGACTGAGCCGTTGCTGGGCGCCGCGGACAGACGCCGAACGGCGCCGCCGGTGTGTGTACACTCATAGAGAATAATGTGTTCGAATTTTAAAGACGTGGCGCTGCGCGACGCGACGCTTCTCGTCCGGTGTGCGACCCCTTTACTGGAGTTCCACAACTACTCAAAAACTATGTTTTTCTCTCCGGCCACCGGAATGTGTGTGTCTAAGGGGACGGAGGCGTCTGAGGTTAAAGGGACGGAGGCAGTGGACCAATGCACTGTGAGGCAAGGGAGGGGGGTCTCAAAATGTTTAGAACGCTTTTTTCGATATTGCCCCGTTTGCATTTGTGTTATTTTATTTCTTAATTATTTTAAGAATATATCATTACATTATTTACAATACACATATTTTAATGTTTTTTTTTTGCGGGGGACAACCCTCAGATAGGGGGGGTCCTGACCCCCTCGACCCCCCCGCGATTTCCGCCTATGGAAATTAGTGATGAATGGAAAGTTCAAAAGAACAGCATATTTGAAATAGAAATATTTTGTCAGTGTGGCAATGTCTTCCAAAGTTTAAGAACTGCATCTGATCATAAAAATTGGGTAATGTCTTTGCAAACACATGAACAAGACTTAACAGAACCTCTTCAGTTTGATAACAACAGGCAGAGACTGGTTACTTGAAGCAAATCCAAAGTTCAACTACAACAACTTTTAGCTTGAAACATGTTCTTGCTTAGATCAACACGCAGCAAATAACTGACATACTGAGACGTATACACGTTTTTTTCCTGGGTCAAAAATGGTCTTCAATGATGGCGAAGCAAAAAACTGTCATTATACATATTACAATCAAAGTACCCGACCCATGTGAACTGAAAACAAATCCAAACTAAATGCAAAGAAACAGTTTGTAATAATAACTAATCATCCTATTTATTTGCCATAAAGTATCAGATTATTTTTCCCCATCTACAGACCTTATTCACAGCAGCCTCGTGTTTGATTTTTAACGGGAATGAAACCAAGGCTGTGAGGAATAGACATACAGTACATCTCTTCAGTGGGTTGAATTGGTATTAGTTTTTTTTTTAATTGTTCTGCTGACGAAACACTGCAAAAGCATCTTTCTAAGAAAATGTCAGTAGAAAAAACACCACAAAACATGAGCTGTGGAAAATTATAAGAGAGCTAGGAGATTTATGCAGCTTTTTACAGTGGATGTCATTGAAAACATGGAGCGTTTTAAAGCAGCCAACTATCAGCAAGTGCCAGTACTGAACAACGGAAGGTATCGTCACATTAAACGATCAAATAGCCTAAATCTTTGGTGGGAAAAAGATTATTTTTCGGTGGCAGCTAAAATATTTCCAATGCAGGAAAAAACCTTGTGTTGAAAAGTATGTTAATACCAGGTGTAAATAGATGCGTCTCAGCTGAACACTTGTGATCAGATCACCCGAAATAACTGAAGATATAGAGACTCGGGCCAAAATTGAAGTTAGCCAATCAAAGAAATCCCATCCTTAAACTATGTAAAACAAGGCAAGGGATGACAAATGCCCTTTGAGGCAAGGTAAAAAATCTATAAACGCCAAAGTTAAAACTTAAAATGAAGATGCCAAACATCAACTAGGCAGAAACAACAACAGCACAGCTCAAGAAAACAAAGGGCTGAACATTAACTTAATTTAAATGATATTACAAACACTACCACTCAAAAGTTTGGGGTTGGTGAAAAAAAGTCTCTTATACTCACCAATGCAGCATGTATTTAATAAATAAAATAGAGTAAAACAATAATTGTTAAATATTATTACAATTTAAAATCACTTTCATATTTTTTTGAATGACGTTTTTCTTCAGTGTCACATGATCCTTCGGAAAAAAAACTGATTTCCAAATAGCTCATCATAAGAAAGTGACATAGCTTAGCTAGCACAAAATGTCTACTGCTCTGTTTCATGAAGCTCAAATTGAACATAAATAGTATTACTTAAAAATAATTTACACCAAAATTTTTAATTAATATGACATGTGTATGACTTACAAAAAAAGGATGTCAGAATAGTCCCCATTCACTTTCATTATAACGTTAGCAGCTACTGTTCGGCAAAACGATGCAATAAAGTTAATGATGACTGAGGCCAGTACCTCACATTCAGCCTAACATCTTAGTTTATGTTCATTTAAAGAAACAATGACATACAAATTTAATATAACATGGCTGAGTAAATAATTGGTGATTCATTTTTCGGTGAACTATCCCTTTAAATCAAGCCGCTAACGTTAGATAAACGTTACTTACGTTAGGCAAATTCGAAAGGACACATAACAGATCACAGTGTTACTTACGGACTAATCAGATCCACATAAAACAGTATATTCATCACTACAGCGTTGTAAAACACGACCTAGTTGATTTCCAATCATTTAATAATAAAATATAAGCCATAAAGTGATCGAAGTAACACGAGGAAGAATACAGGCAGCCATGACTTCATACTACTGACACATCAATGAAGAGATCCGTGCATGTGTTTGTGTGTGAGCGAGTGAGTGAGTGCGCGCGGTCGTATGTATGAGTGTGTGTGTGTGTGTGTTTTATATCGCACTCACCCAGAACCACCGGGACTGAGGATCACCTTTGGGTCATGATGACAGCGCTATGATCGCGAACAAAGAGACGCGGGGCTCGGCTCGAATATACTGCTGTCAGCAGAGCAGATGAGTGTGTGTAAATGTGCCAGAATCCACAGAGAGATCTGCCTCTCAGCTCAGCATGTACAGGAAGTGATGCAGAGGATGTGAGGTCACCGTGTGGAACTGCGTCAGGTGGGCCAGAGACCCCATGAAATGGTAAAGAATTATAATTATATTATGTTACATGTTGGATAAATGAAGTGGCATATTTAGTATAATTTAGTATAAGCATATATTAATAAAAAAATGCCATGGTATGCACTAAACAGTATGCACTGAGAAGCTGTAGTGAGACTTTTATTAGATGGAAGATTATACATGTGCCATTTTGTTGGCTGCAGCTGAATTATTCTAAAAAATATTGTGAGAAAAACATTATTAATATTTAATTATAATTTTATTAAATAATTAATGTCTTACTCAAACATAACAGTATTATAATATTATTAAATATTAAAATTATTTTAATAAAATCACACATTCACAGACAAGTTACTAAAAAGTTTTGTTGTTGAATAAATTAATTACACTTTTTTTTAATGTTATAAATTTATTCAATGTAGCCTATCAATCACAAAATTACTGGACTAAACAATGGTTTTATATTTTTATGATTATAAAGAAGATAATCTCCAGAAATAATCTCCATTCTCTTCTATTATATTATGATTATAAAGAAGATAATATCCAGTGGGGGTGGTGGGATGATCTGGGAAGGAGATGTATTGAGTGAATTTTTTACTTTCTAAATATAATGAACTGTTCATTTGAGAGTTGTTTTGAAAGCAAAGTGAATGTTTCAAGAATCTCTAGTGGGTTTGCAGTGATATTCAGGGTATGACATCACCACAGAGCTATGTGACTGCCTGAGCCTGTCCTTATTGGTGGAGAGAGAGAGAGAAAGAGAGAGAGAGAGAGAGAGAGAGAGAGCGAGAGAGATATTTATCTTATCATACATCCTATCATAAGATTTATCTTGCCATACATCTTATCTTACTGCTTTAAAGGAGTAGTTCACTTTTAAAAAAAACTTTTGCTGATAATTTACTCACCCCCATGTCATCCAAGATGTCCATGTCTTTCTTACTTCAGTCGAAAAGAAATTAAGGTTTTTGATGAAAACATTCCAGGATTTTTCTCCATATAATGGACTTCAATGGGAACCAAACGGTTCAAGGTTCAAAAGACACTTTCAGTGCAAACTGCAAACTGTTCAAAGGGTTTTAAACGATTCCAGACAATGAATAAGGGTCTTATCAACCGAAACAATCGCTCATTTAATAAATAAAAAACAAAGTTTAAGTTTTATAAGCTCAAATGCTCGCCTTGCTCTGTTCTGTGATGCGCGTTCGTGACTCTCCTGTTCGAACTCGTTCATCAAAATGAACGAATCTTTTTGGTTCATTCATTTTTGAGTCATTTGGTTCATTCAACGAATGAAATGAACGAATTGACTCGGAAAAAGATTTGTTCATTTTGATGAACGAGTTCGAACAGGAGTCACGAACATGCATCACAGAACAGAGCAAGGCGACCATTTGAGCTTATAAAACAAACTTTTTTTTTTTTTTTTAATGAGCGATCGTTTCGCTTGATAAGACCCTTATTCATCGTCTGGTGTCATTTAAAGCTCTTTGAAGCTGCGCTGAAACTCTCACTTGGCCTTTGAACCATTTGGTTCCCATTGAAGTCCATTATATGGAGAAAAATCTTGGAATGTTTCCATCAAAAACCTTAATTTCTTTTCGACTGAAGTAAGAAAGACATGGACATCTTGGATGACATGGGGGTGAGTAAATTATCAGCTAAAGTTTTTTTAAAAACGAACTACTCCTTTAACACACCATACATACTGATAAACAGTAAACAACCTTTCCTCTTGTACTCCCTATAGCCAACACTAGTTACACTATCTGCTTTAAAATCAATAAAATATACAACATGTGATAAGTGCAAGTGATGAGCAGAGAAAAACTGAAATCATGTATGACATAAGAAGTTGTGTTGTTTTATTGAGGGGTTGTATTACATAACACAAGTGTTGCTATCCATTCAAAGGTCACTAACCTTTCCGACCTGCTGTTTTAAAAGTCGAAATCTCTAACTACTACCTGCTCTTTTATGAATAGGATTAAGAGGAAGTGATGTGTGACAGCCACTTATTATAATTGACTAAGCACACTAAGCATTGTACATCTGATAGCCCCATGTTCAATATGTTTCTGACATGATGTTGTTGAAGATCTTGGGTGTTTGTGGGTTGTGATAAAACCACAAGCCTTAAAAAAAGACACTATACGTTCAAAAGCACACAGGAAACGGATGAGTGTTCAGCATTGGCATAATGACATATTCAGATTGTCTTCTCGAGTAAGAAGTATCAGAAATTGGCTGTCAGTTGCAATGTTTTTAATCATTCATCAGCTAGGGGTGGGGTGGGGGGGGGGATCATCGATTCCAAATTTTCTGTGCCTTTATTGTGGTGTGGACAAGAACAATTTGTAAAACTAGGCCTAAATCTCGATCGTTTTTGCTAGTTACTGTTATTTAGGGATGCAAAAATGGTTCTTCCCTTTCCGAACCTTTAGTTTTAAAGGAGTTGTTCACTTTTAAAAACTTTTGCTGATAATTTACTCAGCCCCATGTCATCCAAGATGTCCATGTCATTCTTTCTTCAGTCGAAAAGAAATTAAGGTTTTTGATGAAAACATTCCAGCATTTTCTCCATATAATGCACTTCAGTGGGAACCAAACGATTCAAGGTCCAAATGAGAGTTTCAGTGCAGCTTCAAAGGGCTTTAAACGACACCAGACGATGAATAAGGGTCTTAGGATCCTTCGAGTCATGACTCGAAAAAAAGATTCGTTCATTTTGATGAACGAGTTTGAACGAGTCACGAACGCTCATCACAGAACAGAGCAAGGCGAGCATTTGTGCATATAAAACTTAAACTTTTTTTATTTATTTTTTAAATGAGCGATCGTTTCGCTAGATAAGACCCTTATTCATCGTCTGGTGTCGTTTAAAGCCCTTTGAAGCTGCACTGAAACGCACATTTGGACCATTTGGTTCCCATTGAAGTCCATTATATGGAGAAAATCCTGGAATGTTTTCCTCAAAAACCTTAGTTTCTTTTCGACTGAAGAAAGAAAGACATGGACATCTTGGATGACATGGGGGTGAGTAAATTATCAGCAAAAGTTTTTTTAAAAAGTGAACTACTCCTTTAAGTGTGTGTAGTGAGTTCAAGATGACGCACATGCAAATCCAAAAAACAAACAGTTCTCGCGCACAAGCTTCAGATGTTCTAATCCGTGCTTCAAGTCAGATGTGCAAACAGAATTCCACCTATTTAAACAAAGCGGCCAGTTTGCTTTCATTTCTCCAAGTTCAAGGGGGGTAGAGGATTAAGGACATACTCAAGCCCCTCAGGCAGGCCGCTAGCGGACGCCCAGCCAGAGCTCAGTGACATCAGATGCTCATCATCCACGGCATGTTGCGTCAGACGCTCTGTGAAATGATGGCTCAGCAATGTCTGTGTCAAAGAGCACATAGCGACCAGTCTTTGGGGATTGTCACGCACAAAAGAAAAAAAGTGGATAAAACAAAGATTAAGTGAACAAATGGAGCTAAATAAAATTGGGTCATTATAATATTCAAAGAGACAATGTTAACCGTGAATGTTTGTTTCCCGTTTAAATAAAAACCATTTACCTCACCCTCAAGTTGTTCCAAACATGTACATATATTCTTTTGCTAAAAACAAAATAAGATATTTAGAATAATATAGGTAACCAAACAGTTTTTGGACCCCAATGACTTCCGAAACAACAACTTAAAGGCGTGTTCTCTGTGCTGATATTTTTGTGGTGTGGCTATTGTTCCACATTTATAATGATTTTTGGAACTGCATCTCTATAGTCCTTGGTGCGAACGTGTCTTAAAGGGGTGTCTTAACCTTCATGGCATTTCAAACAAGGTTATTATAATTAACACACACAGACACACATAGTATATATACGTATATAATATATTATGTTGCAATTATATAGCAACATAATATATATATATATATATATATATATATATATATAAAGAGTTCAGATGCAAAAGCCTCCAAGTGCCATTTGAAATTTTCTTTTAGAATGATAATTTTTATCAAGCTTGTACGTTTAAGTTCAGTAATTTCACTTAAATTGCAATGAAGATTACCTATTAATTGTCATTTAAGTGAAATTATTGAACTTGAATATATAAGCTTGATAAAAATGATCATTCTAGAAGAAAATTTCAAATGGCACTTAGAGGCTTTTGCATCCAAACTCTTTATATATATATATATATATATATAAAGTGTTACACATATATAGTATATATACATGTATAATGTATATAATATATTGTTGCAATTATATATATATATATATATATATATATACATACACACAGACGCACTGAGTATATCAGAGCAGTATGTATGAATTATAATCCTGAAATAAAATATATGTGATACATTTGAATTAAAATTGGAAATGTTACTTTTGCAAATTGAAATAAGTTTAAGATGAAAAAATTACTAACTGGAAATAAATAAAAACTACAACCAAAATATAATATTAAAATAGACAAAATACACATAACAAAATCATTAAATATTGAACCAAAATTCAATAAACTTGTTCCAGGATGTCTTTTGAGCCCCACCATATAATAACATTGGACCCCTATTTTTACGCAATGATCAACAACAAAAAGTTATTCAGTGAACAAGTATGCAAAAGACACAGAATGAATTGAACTTGAGTGCATGACCGGCGTTTCAGTTTGTTGGAAATTTCTGAGTTCCACAGATTCTGTGTGAGCCAACGCATTATTCACATCCCCAACAAGAAATGTCATGTGCTTGACATACTCTAATCAACACATTGTCTTGCTATCATGCTTTGAGGAAGTCTCCTGAATGCCAATCTGTTAAACCCGACTGACTGAGATACAAAGAGCATGGGAGGCAAAGTCGCAAGCCAAGGCAGGCCGAGTCTGGTACCAGCGGGGACGGTCTCGTCTACGCCTTATGTCTACGGGCTGTTGGGCCATGTCCAGTCCAGCTCAAATAAGCCGACAGAAACTATCAAAATAAAGGAAGTGACCTCCCGACCTGGCGAGCCTGCAAAACGGTGATATTGCTTTTATTAGGGCAGTCAATGTGACACCTCCCTTCATTTGTCAGTGTTCCGTATCGTCTATGCAAAAGACAGGTCTGATAAGGTTTTCAGAGCCATCCCATTAATCAGCGAAATGGCTCTGGAGAGGAAAGGAGACGACAATGGAAAAAGCCCTCAGCTTGAATGACAGGGAAGTGCCGAGAGCCTTAGTTGCCACGAGGAAAGGATACACGGGTAGATCGGCCTTCTAAAGCTGCTACTGTAACAATAGTCAGACCAGCTCTGAGGTTTGAGAGACACCGTCAGGCTTCTAGAAAATGTGCCTGATCACATGAGTTACATATAAAACCTGATGTAAATGATGGCTTTGCACTGTAAATGAACGTGACATCCAGTTTAACACCGCTTTATTAAACTCAAATCATGTTATATAATTAAAGCATGATCATTCAACTAACCTAGTGGCACAGGGTTCAGTTTTAAAATTATTTGGATGCCAACTTCTCCATTAGCTGTGCGCGGCTGCAGATGCAAATACGAGAGCCAGGTCTGCCGCTGGACTCCGAAATGGAACGCACTGGCCACTCCTGGAGAGGGAACGCCTCTGATTTCTGAAGATCTTCAGGAGCTTCCTCTACCGGGATCCACTGCGTTTTTGGTTCTTCAAAGTCCCACTGCATGAATCAAAGAAAACATAAAAATGGTTTATAAAAGAATTAGAAAATGAATGATAAGAATGAATAAATATTAGAGTAATGGCACATAAGAGCCTATTAACAAATGACAAAAGTAAATAAATAAAATACATTTTTAATAATTAAATACATTTAATAAATCAATTAAATAAATGCATTTAAAAAATAATTGGTTTCATAAATAATTTAATAAAATTACTAATGCATTTAATGAATACATTTAATAAATTCATTAAATAAATGCATTAATAAATAATTCATTTAATAAAATAAAAGCAATACATTTAATGAATAATTAAATGCAAAATTAATACATTTAATAAATAAATGATTTAATAAATAAATTCATTAATTAAATGCATTAATAAATAATTCATTTAATAAAATAAAGCAATACATTTAATGAATAATTAAATGTATTAAATGAATACATTTAATAAATAAATTTATTTAATGAATAAATTTAATAAATAAATGCATTAATAAATAATTCATTTACCAAAATAAAGCAATACATTTAATGAATAATGAAATGCATTAAATGAATACATTTAATAAATAAATACATTTAATTAATAAATTAATTAAATAAATGCGTTAATAAATAAATAATTCATTTAATAAAATAAAGCAATACATTTAATGAAGAATTAAATGCATTAAATGAATTCACTTTAAATAAATCATTAAAATGAAAAATAAATAAATCAAATTTTGTGTTATGCAGAAACAAACTCATATGGGTGTGGAACTAGTAAATGACCATTTTTATTTTGGGCTAAACCATTCCTTTAAGGAATGAATAGCTGACAGGAGTGTTTAGTTACTCATACGCACAGACACAAACAACCCCTCCTCAAAAAAAAAAAAAAAAAAAAAAAAAAAAAAAAAAGGGTTCAGAAAACCCCTCAGCCCGTCCACTGTTCTCAATGCATGGGGCGGGCGACAGACCCGATCTTAAAATAGCAGTCGCGGGCCAAATCTCCTGTAGACTGAACAAGCATTTTGTACCACTTCCGATGCAGAGAGGTCCTGCCCTGTTCCTTTATTACAGATCTTTAACAGCAGAACAATCAAGCAACAACATGAACTTCTGGAACACCAAGCTCAGCTTTCTCTTTAACTGACTCAATGGAATGGAATTGCAAGAATGTCACATTTTGATTTGTCAGAAATGTGCCCACAATCTTCTCTCATTACGACACTTTTTAGATCCATTTAATCATTGTATTCAACTCTCACGGCTAATTATAAGCCTTCATATAACCTGTCATTACAATTTCGCCTGATGTTGACTGATGTCGTTGGCTCAAAAACGAAAGGCTTAACCTCTGGTAAGGGCTGTCGGAAAGCTTACATTTATCACTGGAATACATTGTTGATATCAAGAAAGATGTCATGGTCTGAACTCTGGGTTGTCCTTTATCGCACACTGTGTCTGAGGAGGTTCACATGCTTAGCTTTTTCCTGTTTAGTGAATAAAACAAAGTTCAATTGTTTTCGTCCAGGGCGATTTGCCTTTGTTTTAGATTAAATGACATCCTCAATCGCTTGGCATTCTCAAAAGCTACTTGGAGAGCCAAGAAAGTACTAGAACGCAACAACATTTTCAGCAATACGGTTGCAGGTATATTTTAAATTGGGTAATTAGATTGTAAAGTGTGCAAGAATTATGTCAAATAAAGACTGTAGATAAATCATTTTGAAAGACTATCAAGACACTTGAAAGACATTTTGATTGTGATTCGTTTCAAGTCACCAGCAAAACTCTGCTACCATCTACCCACAGAGAGCAGTACTGCAGCCTTTAACTACTACACTGTGTGTTCAATAGAGGTGTGGATCCCTCTGGAAAGAAAAAAACAATGGGGTTCTAACCTCTAGTTCAGAGCCGAGAGAGGATGTATCACTCGAGGTACCAGATGAACACGGTTCATCAACCCGCACCACCCTGACGGTCCTCTTCAGAGGAAGACTCTCTGATGAGCCATCCCGTGAGATGGTCACCTCCTTTAAACAAACCTGAAAGAGCCACCAGTCATGACTTGTAGTTAATCATTAACATACCATATATAACGACTTGACCAAAATGAAAAAACAAGAGCAAACCTTCCTCATTGGCTGTATGTTGACATCCATGTAGAGTCCCATGTCAGTCCCTTTAGGAGAGATGCCTCTTGCCGAAAGCCTCTTGCTCAGAGGCTTCTTCCTGCAACATTCAACATTGTTGTTGTACAGCTGACCTTTGACAGAAGAGTCACCTAGTAAAGACTCAGTATCAGAGTCTAAAGACCGGACAGAACGCCGCTTATGGCAGGATCTAAAACAGATGGTGACCACGATCTGAATGGTCAAAGTTAAAGAGAGGATGAAGAACAGGTACATCATTTCACATGTTTAGAGTTTCCACAAATACCATTATGCTACTTTAAAGATTCCTAGTTTGACATCCATCCAAGGTCAAAAAAAACACTAATTTTCTTAATATACTTTGCAGCATCACCTCTTTTCTTTTCTCATCACCTCTTATCTGAAACAGCTCGATAAAGGATCCGATTTCTCTAAACCCATCCTTTCCAAGAGCCTACTCTGCTCTGATTGGTCTACCACAGCCCAAGCATAAAACTACCATTTCCATTTCTGAATTCCAGCTCCAGAGGCTTCCACAGCACCTGTATACACAGTGATACGAACAGTAACAATGGCGTCGGTTTTACTGTATCAATTCGAGCCTGAGTCCTCATCGTTTGGAAGTGTATGCAAAGTGGATTTGTTTTTGCAGAGCAAGAAACAGCGTCTTCTCGACATGTCAACAACCTGAATCAAACTCTTCCAGACTTAACTACAACTACAGTGTTTGAGGACGGGCCATAACGTAAGATACAAAGTAATGGAGCCTTTTATAAATTGTCGGGTTTCTTTAGAAATTAATAATGGACAAATGGAGTCTTTAAACGCCTCAGATGTAAAGTCATTCGCTGTCAAAGTGACGCCAAAATGAATAGGAGTCAATGGGACGCTAACAGCAGGTGAAGTTCTGCTACAATGGCAGCTCCCGCGAGGCTTCAACTTCCGGCTGATGGATTACACTACGCTATCTCACGACCAGTTCGTACGAGTGATTCTAAAGTGGCTAATTCATACGACCTCACTCGTACTAATTTGTATGATTTGTCTAAACCCACGTGACGGTTATGTTTAGGGGCGGGGTCAGGGGTAGGTCATTCGTACGAATTCATACGAATTGGCTAATTCGTAAAATATTTACGATTTAGCAAATTCGCACTAATTCGTACGAATGAGGTCGTACGAATTAGCCACCTCGTAAAATTCGTACAAATTCCCGGGTTGGATTACGCCCTTGGTTGAAATCTACGAGATCGCTGTGTCTATTTCTTATACTGTATGGAAATTTCAGGCACTTCAGAATCTGTTCCTTCTTTTAGGAGACAGTAAGTCCATTTGTTGTGCACTTTTTTTTTACTTTTTCAGACAGTTTACATTAGGGGTCCCCAACTAAATTGGCAAGAGGTCCACTAACCCGATGAGCCCAGTAAACGAGGGTCCGGACATGCAAAAACACCCGGCAAAATACGTTTTCTTTCATTTTATTAAATTGTAACCATGTCAACAAATTGACAAAATCTTTGACAATAAAATCTTTATCTTTAAATGTATTCAGCTTATTTTGTTGAAATTCATTCAAGTATTATTTCATTTTAGTGCAAATATTCAAATGTCAAACCAGCAACAGGAAGCATAATTTTTATTGGCGGATAATTTTCATTGAAAGTTGTGTGTCTCGTCTCGAAATGCCGCTTGATGTTTCCACTTTTAACAACAGCAACAGACTCCGAACAAATAAGACACACGGGCCTCGTAGAGCTCGATGACGGCAAAAATGAACGCGTACACTTCAGTCCACTCATCTCGAAAGATGCGGTTTTCAGAGTCCACTTTTCTCATTTTTGACAAAGCCATAATAATCAATTCACGAATATCATAGTAATGTGTACAAGCCAAAGTTTGGGATCTCTCCAGACCACGGCTCGCAATATTTTTTTTCACAGGATGGTAGGGGAAGACTCATCAATATTCATTAGGGAACTCATCCCTGATTGGTCTGATGACCTACCTCTAACCCCACCCCTAAACCTACCCATCACTGAGGACTGATGACCTACCCCTAACCCCGCCCCTAAACCTACCCGTCACTGAGGACTGATGACCTACCCCTAACCCCGCCCCTAAACCTACCCGTCACTGAGGACTGATGACCTACCCCTAACCCCGCCCCTAAACCTACCCGTCACTGGGGTTAAAACCAATCAGGGATGAGTTCCCTAATGAATATTGATGAGTCTTCCCGAAACCATCCTGTGAAAAAAAATATCTCTAGCTCTTAAAATATAAATAGCTCTTGCAAAGGACCTGACAGAGACATAGCTGCCCGCGCGCACGCCTGTTCAAAAATTACTTTCGGTAAAAATTCATTTTATTTTTTTTCTAAAACTTTAACAAAAATGTTTAGAGGTCCGTATAAAAAAGCTATTGGAGTCCGGACCTGGGCCCCAGTCCGCCAGTTGGGGACCCCTGGTTTACATTCACATACAGCTATATTACACACTACATGAAAAGTAACATCTGAAAAAGCATAATGGGGCACATTAATGCTTGCCTTTGCAGGCATAAAAAAAGCATAAAAAGTACCAAAGCAAGACATTTAAATGCAGACCTACATTCACTCACAGTATTTGTCAAAGGATACAGAAAGATCCAGCAGCGCACAGCTGATAGCAGAAAGTATCCATGGCATTGCTCTGATAACTGATCTTAGCTCTGTGTCATAGAGAAGAATGGCAGAGCCGTACAGAGCTCCAGCAACAGAAGACAGAACTCTAGAGGACACTTGCACAGCAGAACCCTGCTCTCCTCTATTCTGAAAAAGACATGAGACATAATGGCACAGTTTAAAAAAAGTGCATGAAGACTCGGGCATGATGCTCACATGCATTGCATGCAACAGTGGTTTGTGACTGTACCTTTCATTTAATGTTCTGTTGACATTATGAAATTAGTGCATTTTATTAAGCCAAACAAGTGGACAGACATGTGCTAAAAATTATTTAGAAGAACAAAAATAAATTGCCACCCACAGCTTTCAGGATGAAGGGAAACTTGGCGGTCCAGTTAATTGCGAAGGACAGAAGACCCAGTACGTAACCAAGGTGTTCAGTATGGTCCTGTTCCCAAAAGACACATGTAGGTCCAGGTTGTACTCTTGTTTAAAACACTTATCAGTATTTTGCATATGTCATAAGTTTACATGTGGTGTGGTTCCATATGAAGAGTTCAGATGCAAAAGCCTCTAAATGCCATTTGAAATTTTCTTCTAGAATGATCATTTTTATCAAGCTTGTATATTTAAGTTCAGTAATTTCACTTAAATGACAATTAATAGGTAATCTTCATTGCCATTTAAGTGAAATTACTGAACTTAAATATACAAGCTCGATAAAAATGATCATTTTAGAAGAAAATTTCAAATGGCACTTTTGCATCTGAACTCTTCATACATACTCCTCTCTTTTGAGAATGACTTTACTTACATTGAGGAAGAAGCCAAGTAGTCTCCTCATGGATGGAGTTGGAGACTTTGCACTCGAATGGACTGGTAAACCCAGGTAAACACTGCCGCCCATTACAAACAGCAGACACACAGCTAGAAAATTCTGCCGCCGCCTCCTGGAAATCATTCTCATTTTCTTTCCTTGAGAGCACAAACGATACATCATTTATTGTGGCAACACAATCACACCAATGAGTGATGTGTGTGTGTAATAGCTAACCCTTACCTATTTTTGACTTATACCATAAATAAATGGAGAAAGATATTGACAGGAAATGAACAACATCCAAAATTGCCATAAATGAAGCCATAGAAATCTGCAACACATGCACAGAACGTAACTTATTCAAAGGGCCGTTTATAAGAAAGAGTAGACATTGCTTTCTTGTAGTATTTGTAATATAATAAATCATTTTTCTTATTGGCAAACCATCAGTTGGCAAGTTTCAACCGTCACTGATCCAAAGCTCTTGCAGGGATAGTTCACCCAAAAATGAAAAACCTGTTATTAGTTAAACACCCTCAAGTCGTTCCAAACCTGTAAGACTTTCATTCATCTCCAGAAGACAAATGAAGATCTTTTTGATGAAATCTGAGAGCTTTCTCTCCCTTCATTGACAGTCTATATTAACTTCAAAAAGTTCATAAAGAGATTGTAAAACTAATCCATATTAATTGAGTGGTTTAGTCCACATCTTCTGACTTAAGATTTATAAAACAGATTTAATTTATTAACATATAAACCTTGATCAGTAAACATAAACAGAAGCTCAACCGAACCTTACAGAAGCTCAAACGTGCTGCGCCCCAATTCTCATAGTACCCGAAATGAGAATTAGTGTGTCCCTAATCGTAGTATGTTGAAATGAGTATTTCCAAAGATACCTGGTCAAATTTTTCAGAGCTATTTCCCACAACTCATTGTTGGACGAGGAATCAGGTTTGACTGATTACTTATCAGTGTCTAACCTGACAAAAAGATATGTATTCAATGTTATACATTATATTTCATCTGCAACAGCAATGTAAACTTTTGTAACGATATGTTTGGTCATTAACATTTAACTTAACTGCATCATTGGGCAAATTTCAAACACATGAGGAGAGTCCTCCACATTTAAAGACCCACGACTGGCAGATGAACGTGCTCCTATATTTCTCTCTGAAACAGCAGGAAATTGTGTTGATTTTAAATGTGACGCAATTAAATTGATAATTCAGTTCCGTTAAAGATGCAATTATGACAACTAGAATGTCCCAAAGCTCTTCTGCTACACACTCAAAGTACCTTTTCCTCACAAAAGCAGTACTTGCCATTATGCCATTATGAGAAGGCGAATTGGGAAGCAGCTGAGAATGAACCTCATTGGTTCTCGCACGTCAACCAAGTTCAGTTGATCCATTTACCACAACTGATGATGTCACACCAGTTGTGGTAAATGCTGTGCCAATCAATGATGTGCCAAATTGATGAATGTTTATGTGAATAAAAGCCTCAATTTAATCTGCTCATTTTATTGCAGCCTATAAAGCGATCCAATCTCTTAAAAAAATGACTAAACCAGTCAATTCGTATGGGTTAGTTTTACAATCCTTCATGAACTTTTTGAAGCGTCAAAGTGGAAGTTGTAAGTTCCACTTTGACGGAAGGGAGCAGGGACAGAACGCTCTCAGATATAATCAAAAAAGATCTTTATTTGTGTTGAGAAGTATTAGAGGTTTAGAAAACGATATGACATGAGGGTAATTAATTAATTAATTTAAATTTTAGGGTTAACTATCCCTTTTACAATAGGTATTGTTACAGTTCGGCGAACTTGAGCACAATTTCTCACCTGAAAATCAAACTGTTTTGAAAGGAAAGCGCCCACTGCGCTGCACAAATTGCCCACGAAACAATACAAGGCGAAGAATGCTTCATCGCCCACAATCCTGCTTCGCGATTTACATCTGTGATAGAGAAGACTGAGAGGGGAAAACAAATTATAAGTTTATCCATTAACAAACTTCAGCTAATTTTAATAACATGACACTCACAGTGAACAGGAAACCAGTAATATAAAAGCAGACAAGACGTAAAGAGCAGCCGAGATGCAAATATGTTCTTCATATGTCGAAAGACAACCTTTAACAAACTCTGGGCTCCATCGGTGGACAATGTCTAATAATGTAATTTTATCCATATGTTTCACTTATACTGTTACCCATTGAGGGAGAAGAAACTCCGAGAAAATCCAAATGTTTGTCTCCAACTTCTTTCATTAGCTGCCAGCTGTATGGATAACAGCGATCCCCTATCAATCACCTGTATCCTTTTGGTAACGCCCACATGCTTGGCTCATACATATTAATTACGCACCGTAACGTTCACCCAGCTGATTGGCTGCGTTTGGAAAGTGAATGCTAGCCTATCCTGTGAAGAGGCTCGTACATTAAAATAGTTCAAAGTTAAGATTATATTTTACCTGCCACAATTTGTAATTTAAGTCGAAGTATGAGGACTCGACAAAGAAAAAACATTTCCTAAAAGACTGTTTGTAATGTATTTAATGTAGTGATGTAATGCAAGATCAATGACCTGTCAGTGAGATACGGCAGGAAATAATTTTAAGTGTGATTAGATAAAACATGAAAGAGATCTAAGGATCTAAATTATACACATTTCCTTATATATTAAGAAACATTTTACCCTTTAAGAGGTTATTTATAACAGACAATTCAAAAATAGCTTCGGGAAAAAAATACAATCCGCAGTCCTAATGATGAATTTGAGAGAAATTACACTGAGAAACAGTCACTATACTTAGATGATAATTGTCAGCTTTGCTAGACATCCATATATTCAACTGAAATTTAATCAGCAATTTTTTGTAAGAATAAAACCACTTTAACCCTAAAACCATATTCTGGACAAATGTGGGCAAAATAGTTTTGATTCATTTAAAAAAAAAAAAAAAACTTTCCTTGATCTGAGCAGTACAAGACTTGGCTACTTTTCCTAAGTTTGCCTCCTGAACACACAATTTTTTTGACTCAATTCTACAATGTTAAGTGGGTGAAAAAACCTCCTTAATCTTGAATTTGGGTCAAAAATGGGCACCAATAGAAATGAATGGGAAAAACTGTAATTTAGAGCATTCTAAAATAAGCCAAAATAAGACATCAGGTCTAGACATCAAAGAAAATATGGTACTTTTTGAAGTAAATAAATTCAAAAATACACCCAAAATAAAAAATCACACCATAAATGGATAGACAAAACTTTATCGAAGACAGTGATATAACATTTATGATAAATAAAAATTAGGATCACGCCTGAGTCCTCTGTGCCCACATTTGTCCACAATTACAGGATTAAGAGCTATAAAGTGAATACGGTTTGAGGGCTACCTACATTATCAAGGAGCTTCATGTATTAGCGTTTGTCTAGGACCATTAATCTTGTCATCCCATACACTGATAAAATAGTGACAATTTCTTTATTATAAGTGACGATATTTCAAACAAAGAGGAATGTCCAGCAGCAATCATCAATCACTTCAATGTATGGTGAAATGTGAAAATTCATTAAAGAGTCTTTGCATTAAAGAGTGTAAGAAATCCAGACATCTTTGAGGTTGCGCTTGCAGATTGATTAGAACAGGGATCACGCATCCAGATGTTTGTTGAGTCTTCTCACTTTCTCCTTCTTGTTCCGGTTCCCATGTTTTTTCCAGGGTTTCCCAGCCTGTTGTTGTGTGTTTGCATTTGCAGGCCCAACAGGACCACTTCCAGGCTTATAACCCATCACCATCTGCACACCCTTGGTCAGCGCTCGCACATTTTCCTATGAAAAATGACAGATTTTGAGCACAGTGAGTGATTTAGACCTTAAAATTTGTAGCTGTTTAAAATACTGCAACATTATATCAAAACAAATCCCTTCATGGGTTGAATCTTACTTGATGAAAGAAACTTTTATCCACTGTGTTCTCTATGCGTTTGACTTTCGATGGATTGTTGGCATTGCTAGAAATCTGTTCGGCATCTTCAGTCTGCATGGCAAACCTGGCGTGCTGAGGCTGGAAGTCTTTGGGGTCAATGTGGGGTGGAGGGTGGCAGTAAAGGAGTTTTCCCTGCAGAGATTCAAAAAACATCGGATCAGCATCTCCCATTCGCCATGTTCACAACTATAAAATTCAGAGCTGGTTGTGGCAAATGTAGAGGCACTTACACTGACATAGTCTTTCAAAACATAACGGGCTGATCTTGACTGGTCTGGCTGGCCGTGTGCCGTCATGAAGCCTCTCATATCTGCATGAAGAAAATAAATTATGATTGGTCAGTAGTAGTAGAGTTTTAAAAAAAAAACTTAATTAATTGGTGTGAAATGCCTTAATGTGTACATCATGCAACGTTAACTGACATCCATATGCCATTAGCAGCTCCTCATAGGTAGGCACTCGATCAGGGTCTTCGTCTTCCCTCGGTCTGATGATGTTGATACCGTAGGTCCCCTCCAAAACAGTTCGAGGGATAGTCTGACATACGTATTTAGGTTAAGGGCAACATCCTGCAGTTCAAACTTTGTCAGACGTTATGATGCTTCAAAAGATTAATATTACAAATAAATTCTGTACTTTTGAACTTTCTATTCATGAAAGAATCCTGAAAAAAATGTATCACAGTTTAGACAAAAATATGAAGCAGCACCACTATCTTAAAAATTTATAATAATAAAAAAAAAATGTTTCTTGAGCAGCAAATCTGCATATTTTTATGACTGAAGGATCATGTGACACTGAAGACTGGAGTTATGGCTATATTTAATTAAAGGTACAATATGCAAGATTGCTTCACCACCAGGGGTCGCTAGACTCTTACAATAAAAATGGCATTTAAAATTATGTATATTCTGCATTAAGCGGAATTATGGATCTTGTCGTCAAGCTGATCTTTTATTATGGATGAGTGAATACACTGATTCACTAATACACTGAATACACTGAAGCAGTGCGTGATTGCTAGACGTATACCAGCGCCACACGTAACGCGAGTACCGTGGATATAAAGGAATAAGGACATTTAATTCTACCGAACTACACGCTGAATTACTCAGGTCAGTTTATTAGAGGAATTAAACTTGAGGTAACGCAGCGCTGCTTCACTTGCTCTAACAGTTTCACTATCACACTAAATGGCATTTGATAGTTTTGAATGTTGTTAGTTAGGTTGTTTGTTGGCTGTATGAGACTAAGCTAGATTAACATTAGAGAATAACATACAGATCATATTCTAACTTTTCATCATGTTGAACTATATAACATTGATTAGTTTTATATACATAAAACTTAGCCGCGGACGTGGAGCTCTCGGCATCTCGAAAAATGTTGATCTTCGTTTTAGTCCTCTTGTCTCAAAGTCTACTTGTTATGGTCCATAATGTTTGAACAAAACCATGCTAGGGACGCTCACGCTGTTGAGCACACATAGCGGGCATAACCGACCCAGATGTCCACGTCTCTCGCCACGGTTACTATTGCAGTACGAGGTTAAACCTGGCGGAAACCGGGGGTAACGCGGATATGACGTCATTGACTGGCGACTCCTCACCCCTGCTCACATGCCCCGTTTCCTTCGTTAAAAAAAAAAAAACCCGCAATTTTCTCACGATTTACAAATAGTTGGAAACATTTGGGATATTGTAAGTTATCAACTAAACAAAATATATAACATTGGCCTAGTGGTTTTTGGATATTTTACTGCAAAAATCCTGCATATTGTACCTTTAAATATAGCAACTGAAATTGTAACTTTTCAACAAATAAATACAGCCTTGTTGAGCATAAGAGACTTACAAAATAATTATACATTTTAATGCGTTTCATACAACTAGAAAAAAGATCAAGCAAAAATGCAATTGTTCTGGTCATTGCTGTTTAAGAAGGATATCAAAGAGATGGCTGGAACATGATCTCTTAACTGATCGATAGGTAGGATCCCAGAGCAAATCATCTCGGCTTTGGTGGACACAAAAGATGGCATGACCAGTCCAGGACAATCACACAGGCAGAGACCAGGCTCAACAAACAGAGTCTGAAACATAGACACACCAACAGTCAATTAAACCCCAAGAACGTAAACATGCTTACACATGCTAAATTCTTAAATCAGATTGGTTGACCCCTATTGGCATACAGCTTGAAAATGGGTGGTGTACAGCAGTAGTTAAGAGTTTCCTAAGAGTAATTTAGGAGAAAAGTTTAGAAAATATCAGTAACTCCATTGTGAATCGTTGAATCGAAATAGTCACCTGAAAATGCTTTGTGTGTCCGGGTGTAGCTGAAACTGAGACTTTCTTATTCCTCATGATGGTGTTGATGGTGGAGCTTTTTCCAACATTAGGATATCCAACCTTAATGAGAATTTAGAGTGGAAATATGAATATGAGTTCTGATGGACAGTGTCATATAAATGTTTGATACATTATAGAACTGTTGTTTAAAGTCAAACTCACCAATCCAACTGTGATTTGTCCATCTTTGCATGTCAGCCCAGAATGCACAGACTTAAAAATCTCCAGCAGCTCATTTTTACGTAACAAACGGCTCGAGTTGTAAAAAGCCTCTGCGGACCCTGGGTTCTCCACAGCATGATCTTCGTCTCCTGATTCCTCAGAGCATGTCTGCCATTCTTTCTCATCAACACAGACTCCACCTTCTTCTTCTTCATCCTGCTCACTCTCATCTTTCTTTTCATTTGGTGTCGTGCTATTTTCCTCATGATGATCTGTGGCATTTTTGGAGGCTGCTTCCAGTTCAGTATCACTCTGATCCTCCTGGTCCATCAGCTCTTCTCCCTTAAACACCAGGCATTGAGGAGAAACAGAATAATAAACACTCAGTTCTCAAAGAATAATCGCTTCATGTGCATCATAACACAAATATTCAAGTAAGCCTAGTTCTAAGATTATATACAATACCGTGCAAAAGTTTGGGGTCGGTACGATTTTTTTAATGTTTCTGAAAGGAGTCAACTGCATTTATCAAATATAAGTATAAACAGTCAAATTGTTACAACTGTTTTCTATTTTAACACATTATAATATAAACTGTCATTTATTCCTCCAGTCTTCAGAAATCATTCTAATATGCTGATTTTCTCCTCAAGAAACATTTCTCAGTACATTTTTGGGAGAATATTTTGATGAATAGAACATTTATATTTATAAATGTATCAGATGTTTTTACCCAAAGCGAACACACGCGATTCATCTCTAAAAGGTTCAAAAGAATAGCATTTATTTGAGATATTATTCTTTGTCACATAAATGTCTAAATGTAATTTGTAATCAATTTAATGCATCCTTGTTAAATTAAAGTACATTTACATATAATATGTATAATACCTTCTCCTCAGCCTCGAGTCGTTGAGCCTCAGCTAAAGCAGACCAGAACACTGCTCTGATTCCCTCTTTCTGGAAGTATCTGGCCCAAGCTCGCCGCTGTTCTCTAGTGAGCAGGTCAGCTTTGTTCAGCAGAAGCATGTTTACTTTGTGAATAGAGACCTCTTTTACATATTTTTCCTGATGGTGACAGAAAATGAAGTATGATTCAAATAGGAAGAGCGAGTGTAATTGTTTTGACCAATGTCTTATTGTTACTTACCAGATCTGGACACCGGAAGAGAAGCGGGTTTCTGGCATCAACAATTTGAACCACAACATCACTGAGGATTAAACAAAAAATTTGTATTCTAGGATACTGAATAGGTGTGATTAGATAGTAAAAAGTAAAAATAACATATCCATTGTGGAAAAGAGGCAATCAAAAGCTCACCTCCTCTCAATAACTCTCCAGAGTTGCCTCCAGAAATCGAGATTCCTCTCAAAAGGGGTAAGAATCATCTTTTGTTCCTCTTCCAACCTATAACAGAGAGTGCATTAGCTCACAAACACTATCCTGTTGGAGAATCTGATTTAAGAATCTGACTAAATTTATCAAACATTCACCGTGCCAGTTCTCTTCTCCATATAAGGAAACTGTCCCTCTCGGTTTGCTGTAGAACCTCAGAGCTTGTGTTCTCGTCCCAAGGAGGCCTGCAGTGACAGAACACCATCTTCAATACATTTGCTTCAATGGCAGATCAGAGGATCAAAAAAAAAAAATAATAATCACAACAACATACCTTCGGGGGATTCGCAAGAGCTCTTTGTTTTCCTCATGGAGTTTCTTCAGTCGTCTGGACTCCTCAGCGGAGAGCAAGCCAGCCCTCGCTTCAGCTGGGACAAATTTGATGTTCATTTTCTCTGCAAAACAATAACACATATTTTTATCTGTTACAAGCAGGGTTATTTTAGTATTATTTATATACTATTATCCACCTAATTTTGCAAAGCAGAAGGAATTATTTTAATGTGCAAGACTAGGTGATTCACTAGCTTCTGGAAACTGTAAAACTATTTGTGTTACAAACCAGTTTGATTATGATTATGATAATTAAAACAATATGATAGCAAATACCAGTTAATAATATAAAGGAGCATGAAATAGAAATTGTGATAGTCTTTCTTCTCTATTGTGATGTACATCCGAGTGAAACAGCGGAAGGGACTTGATTTCGTCCATTGGGAATTGATTGGATTGTTGTGGTTGGCTATTGAATTTAATTCAATTAATAAAAATGTTATAATTGATCATTTTAGTTCATGATATAATCGTATAAATAATCCAGAGATATCACCATTACCACCAACCTGCAACAAATTCAGTTCCAGCGAGTTCAGCCGTGGCAAGAAAGTCATCCAGAGAGCTCTGCTCTGTGACAGACTGTAGGTTTAGTCGACCCCAATCATATCCATCATTCAGCTCGCTGGTGTGCAGCTAAAAGACATGATACAATGAAAATACTTAGGATTTATTGAACAAAACTGGCTAAAATTTACATTCACTGAATCAAGTTAAAACTCTCTTGCCTAAAGAAAAATAATAATATTTCAACAGGATATTTTGTAGTCCATGTGTTTTGGTTTATGATGTAAAGCCTTTTAATCCATAAACATTTGTTTATGTCACGCATATCGTACCCCTAATCAAAAATGACAAAATAATGAGTCATGGTTTCTCCAATTATTTTATAAATGTTCTATATTAATAGAACTTTACAATGATCTAGACTAATGCTATAACGAAAAAGCAATTTTATGATTAGACAGTGACATTTTCTTACCCATGTGTCATTTCTCCTGTATCCGCGGCCTGCGTTCAGTCTCTCCTTTATTAAAGCTCTCCCTAACCCTGAGCCTTCTCCGTGAGCCTTCTTTTTCCCCATATTAGATGCGTTTACACGGTTAAACAGCGATATAAATGTGTCAGCGAACTGTTCGTGGACATACGAATAGACAGAACTTCACCCATGTGGTATGTTTGTTATGGCAAAGGAAGGAAGTCACACGGACTGGTGTATGAGATGAACCTCCTCTTTAGAGCAATACGGCGTCAAAAATAGATCCCCTTTTTAGGTTTGTTCAGCTTAGTCGAGTGCATATGTTTACTTTTTAAAGGTTGACAGAGATTACAGTGAAAAGATACATCTTTTGGTTTGTTCTAGGGCTATGGTGTCTCACTAAAATATGTCCCTAGGAAATCCAAAGACATTGCATTGAATAGTTCCGGATTTTTGCAAACTGCTTGGGTCATGTTAGCATGTCACCAGCAGAGGGTATCACATAACAAGTTTCATATTCGCCCAAAACTATTCCTGAGGTAAGAAATAAGAGGGGCAATAATAATAATAATAATAATAAAAATGATTATTAATAATACTTATGTGTAATATATTTAATCATTGTAATATTGAATTAATAATTATATTCTGTCGTTGTTGTCCTTGTTATTAAATCTATAATAACAGGATGCATCGCATGCTTAAACTTTATTACTTTCATTATTGTAGAATATGTCGTAATAATAATAATAATTATTTTTATTATAGTTGTTGTTACATATAATATCAGGTTGTATTCTTTTTTTTGTTGCCATTTTTAACCTTATAGAAATTCAAAAAAAAAAGGATTGTGTTTTGTATCAGTATAGAAAATTATATTAGCAAAGTCTTTACTGTCATACGCATACTATGTGCATAAATGAGAACAGATGAGCCGATACGAAACACTTTAATTAAAAATCTATTAATTACAGGCACGTTTAAAGAGATATAAATAAATAAAAACCCGTTGTCATCATAAAGTCATCTCTTGTTGTCCCAAACCTGTATGAGTTTCTTTCTTCTGTCGAACACAAAACAAAATATTTTGAAGAATGTTGGTAACCAGACATTTGATGAGTTGATTGGGCTCCATTGACTTACATAGTCGAAAAATAAGGGGTGCCGCCAACTGTTAATTCTTTAAAATATATTATTTTGTGTTCACTAGAAGAAAGAAACGCATACATGTTTGGAGCAACATAGGGGTGAGTAAAAGAGGACCACATTTTCATTTTAGGGCGAACTGTCCCTATAATCCCCGTCTTGGTATCGTCCTGGCTCCCCTCTGAGAGTCTGAATTGGTTCCTTCCGCTATATAACTCACTGATTCTCGCTTGCACTGTACAGTGTGTTATGTACCAGTGATGCGGCGATAGTAGCGTCCGACGCGATACTTCACCGCTCACAGGTCAACGAAGTCTGCAACTTTGAAAATGTCTTAAAGCAAGTCGATAGATGACTAAAGCCTGTTTTGAGGTAGAATTTAGGCGTAATAGAAATAGTACAGTAGATTTAGTATCTTCACTGTCCCCAAGACGACCAGTATGTTGCCTTGGAAGAAGAATAAGTTCGAGCTGATCGAGGAAGACAAGCAGCAGTCCAAGCAGAAGGGCTATGCCGTGAGCCTCAACTACTCCGCGCTCACCTCCTTCGCCAAATCCTGCCCAGAAAGCGCACTCAACAGAGTCGGGAGCATGTTCAAATCCAAGAGGAAAAAGGTGAAGATCACCAACGAGGACCCTACGTATACGGTCTTGTATCTGGGGAATGCCACCACCATTCAGTCCAAGGGGGACGGATGCACGGACGTGGCCGTCAGTAAGATTTGGGGCAAGAGCGAGATGGGGAAGAACGGCACCAAGATGAAGCTGACCATCAGCTCGCAGGGCATTCGCATGGTCCACGTCGACGAAAAGGCGAAGAGACCCGGACATCTCTATTTATTGCACAGGATCACCTACTGCGTCGCAGACCCGCGGCTCCCCAAGGTCTTCGCCTGGATATACCGGCACGAGATGAAGCACAAGGCGGTGATGCTGCGCTGCCACGCCGTGCTGGTGTCCAAGCCGGAGAAGGCGAAGGCCATGGCGCTGCTCCTCTACCAGACCTCAGCGACAGCACTGGCCGAGTTTAAAAGACTCAAACGAAGGGACGACGCCAGGCACCAGCAGCAGCAGTTGATCGGGGAGCAAACGATTCCCTTGGTGCCCTTGAGGAAGCTGCTAAACGGACAGTGTTACTATAAACCCCCGGTGGAGCGCAGCAGGAGCGCACCGAAGCTGGGCTCCATCACGGAGGACCTGCTCGGGGAAGAGGAAGAGGAGAAAGCCATGCACTTTGAGTGCGAGGATATCCTGGACAACGACAGCGACTGTGTGTCTAACGGCAAGCAAGAACTGTGTCAGATTATCAACGACTTGGGCTCCATGAGCATAGGCAACGACGTGCAGACGCTAAAAGCCGATCTGAGAGTGACTCGCCTGCTGTCCGGGGAGAGCACGAGCAGCGAGTCCTCCATAGACAGCAATCAAGAGACCGTTTCTCTGTCTAATGGCATTGTGGATAGGAAAATGCAAGAAGTCGGCTGACTAACGACGAGCAATGACCTGCGATGTTACACGGTAATAATGAAGAAGAGCGTTTGTGTGCATCATGAATGTGCCACTTCACCCATTTGACTTGAAAGCGGGCTTGTTCACGGGATGTGTGTGAAAACCTAGTGAGCTGCCTACCTAGACATCACGTTTGGACCAAAAGTGTAAAAAGTCCACTTAACTACCGCCTTAAGAAAAATCAAAGTGGTGCCAAAAGTTACAACCTTCACTATAATGGTTTTACTGATTAAGAGAGTTAAGTTTAAAAAGCTTGTGACAAGATGGAAACCATGCAAGACATAATGAGAATGAGATCAGCTAACTCAAAGTGCACCAAAATGCTGTCTAGGTAGGCGGCTCACTAGGTTTTGAGACAAGCCATGGATATGTTTGTGGACTTACAGACACTCGCACAATAATCCCTCATTAGGGGTCTGGATGGAAGTTGCTCTGCGCAATAAGACGCTTAAAGTCTCTGTTAACCTCTCTCCGGGGAAAGAGGTTTTAGGAAAGATCTGTTTACCTAATATGTTTCCCTCAAGGAAATGTTTGTTTGTTTGAATGAAAACACCAGTCCTGAAATATCTAACTCAATCTTTATTTCTTTCTATGTTTCTTTCGTTCGAAAGAAGTGTCAACAATAACGAGTTACAAGACTACTTTCCTTTCAGGATGTTCCTTTGTTTGTTTTTTGCACTGTGGTGGATTTCAGACAAGTATTATGTTATTTATGTGCATAATATTGTTCTCAAATGTTCTTACAAACATGTTTTATCTTTGCTGTGCAAAAGAGCCAATTTCCTGATGTACAGAGATGTATATATTAAATACATAACGTGTAAACAAAATCCATTATTTTTTAAACAATGTGGTTTGTTTCTGTGAACACCAATAAAAAAAGTCAATTGAACATCGATGTCGAACATTTTCTGCTGGAAAAACCATGTCAAATATTAGACAATTCACTGTAAAAAAATATTTTCAAGATTTGTTATCACAACATTTTTTCTTTTGTCAAATCAACTTAATTTATTTCGTTCAGATAACTTGTTATTTTGAGTTTCTGATGATTAAATCAATGTATGAACTCACTTTTTCCAGTTCCATCAACTTAACATAAGGCAACCAGGTTACTTAATTGTTTTAAGTTAAAACAACAATACTTTTTTACCGTGAACTCCAAGCAGGTTTAAATTTGCGGTCACATTTATGCTCTCAAGTGTGCTTTCAGAAGCATGCAGGCACCATATTACGATCCCTTTGGAGTCTGGCACGTTTGCACTTGAGGGGGCGCCGCATGTTCCCTGCGGTGAGAGTGTTAATAATGCTGGCAGAGAGGTCACTTCCTACAGGAGTGCCACACACCCGCAGCTCTTCATCGCTGTGCATGTTCTGAGGCCTCCTTTCAGATCTGCACATGTAAACAAGTTCATATTATGGCAGAGAAGTTAACAATTGAGTGGCAGAATCAATACATCAATAGAATCTTAAAATGCTAAACTACTTATTAGACCTGCCAAATAACGAGTTGTACAGTTTTAAAGAAACAACCCTGCCTTATTAGACATGATAATATAAGCTATACGCTAAAATCAGGGTCAAATTTCAAATCTGGAGACTTTTCCAGCTGTCTAAGCATCAGACAATTCACCTCAATGGGATTCACCATCAAAACGTCCATACGCTTAGTATATAACCCCGCACAGTGCAGAACAATAAACGGATATGCTAAATCGAGCCTGTATATAATTAGCCTATAAGGGAACAACCTATTACCTAACTATTAAACTGTGGTGTGGTGCTTCCTTTATGGAGATTATTAATTGTACGGTTAATAATAGCAGATGCATTAACAGATATGGGCCAGCTTCACAAATGATGTTGGGCAGATACATTTACAAAATGAGCTTTATTTAAAGATAAGGATAATTTCTGTCTCCAATTATGAAGATAGCTGTTTGAAATAATTGTGTGCGAAAAATGAACTTTTAAAATACCCTTCGATTCAAGGGTTCGATTTACATCTAGAGATGTAAACCAAAATGAAACATAGAAAGTTTAGGCAGTCTTCGGAAGAGTCAAAAGTTAATTCTCACCCATGGAAAATCCATCTTGAAGTCAACTTTGTCTCTAATAGAATATCGCCTAATTGATTGAATGGCTCATGCGTGAAATTGAATTAAAGAAAGCGCATTATTGCAGTGCATCACAGTGTTGATTAACTAGATAAATAGCGAGAGGCAAAGAAAATCTTGATTTCTGCCTCCGTAAGGGATTTATTTTTTATTTTTTCATTATTATTTTTCTATTGAGACAGGATTTGGAATGGCCAAGGAAAGCAATATGAACTTAAATAATTCATGCTGTTGTTCAAAGCCAATGCGGCCTCACAGGTTAGTCTCCTGTTACACCCGTCTAAAAAAAGAACAACTCACCCAGTCTCTCTCTCTCTCACACACACACACACACACACACACACACACAAACGCACAGGATTGAGGATTCCCTAATGTCTTGCATCCCATTTGGTGCATATGCACAAGCCCTAAATATGCAAAATCATCATAGCAGCACTGTAAAAATTAATTCGCTTTATCTAATCAATAAAATTGTGGCAACAGATTACAAGCAACGTTAATAATTAAATTGAACAAATTAGAATTGAGTAATAATTAATCAAGTTAACCATTTAAAATGAGTAAAGTTTATACCAAAACATTAAACAAAAATATCTGAATAACAGACAGACGTCAAAGATGAATTAAAAACTCTTTATTTTAAATTACCAACATTGAAGACACCTGATGTTAACAACCAGAATCACTGGAGAAAAACGTAATTATAAAAAACACTGATCACCATAATGGTGACTTAAATGTACGCTTTTTCTTCTTTTTTGTAAGTTTTACTCATTTTAAATGGTTAACTTTTAAGGAATTAATTTTATTAATTATTACTCATCTCTAATTTGTTAAATTGAATTAATAACATTGCTTGTAATCTGTTGTTGCCACAATTTGTTTGATTAGATAAAGCGCATTTATTTTTACAGTGCAACCATGGAGATTATAGAATCACATTATTTTTATTTTGATCCCATTTCTTTATTGGGAAAGCAGACAAATTGTCATCCAAATCCAACCTGATCTCACGGGAATTTGTACGAATTTTATGAGGTGGCTAATTCGTAACAATATGACCTCACTCGATTTTTGTTAAATCGTACATATTTTACGAAATGGCCAATTCGTATGAATTCGTACGAATTACCTACCGCAGACCCCGCCCTTAAACCCAACCATCACGTGGGTTTAGACAAATCGTACGAATTCGTACGAGTGAAGTCGTATGAATTAGTACGAATTAGTCACTTTTTAATCACTCGTACGAATTGGTCGCGAGAAAGGGTAGTCCAAATCAAAGTCAAATACATCAAAAGGTCCATCTTGTTTGGTAAAACAAAATAGTTGCTATTAAACATCTTGGAAACAAAAGAAAAGAAAAACAAACAACAACAACAAAACCAAACACAAATCAAAGCAAAGCAAAACATTGGTGTTTGATCATCCAAATGTTCGTTTAGATTTACATGTTTACATTTAAGATTATTACCTAAATGTAAACATGTAAATCTAAACTAATCTAAAATCATTTGATTCAGATGACCTTATTGTGACAACACATCCTTTTATATTTCAGTGTCAATAAATATAAAATAAATGAAATCAAATTACATAAAAATCTGCCTCCGCATATTTTTAAAAGAAATGTGAAATGGGAGGAAAAGTAATAGGTTGTTTTTACCTTAAGACAACAATGAGCATAATGTTTGACATTTGATGAGAAATAACAGATATTACACCCACAATTGTCTCAAGGAGATAGAACGTTCACCAAACAATACTGTCATTTTGAAAGTAGGCGAGAGTGCAAACAATTGTTATCGTAGCTCTCTTAGTGCGGGTGTCACTGTCATCATTACATATGTATGCAGTCACAAAGTATATCTTTCACATCTTGTTCCTGACATGCCCACATTTTCAAGAGTCAGTCTCAGAGAGCTCATGAAATGTTAACGCTATAGGGGCTTGCACCTCTCCTTAATGTTTTCTACACAAACGGTCCCCCCAGAGAGCAATACGTTTCAGTACGGTTATTTTAATCCTTCTGCTACAGACAGGAAATGGAATAATAAAAGGAAAACAGGAAGAATCACAAGACACGCTCCAATCTGCACACTTAGATTGGGAGATTTCATGGAAATGTCCCTCTCCAAGGGCTCGTATTTCATTTCCACTCGGCCAGAGTGTGCTTTTAGGACACAACAGAGTACACAACTGCTCAGTCGTGTGCAGCCCAGAAGACAAGAAGCAACTGCTGTTTCAGATAGTTAAAGGAGCAGTTCACTTTAAAAAAAAAATACTTTTGCTGATAATTTACTCACCCCCATGTCATCCATGTCCATGTCTATCTTGAATGAAAGCATTCCAGGATTTTCTCCGTATAATGGACTTCAATGGGAACCAAACGGTTCAAGGTCCAAATGAGAGTTTCAGTGCAGCTTCAAAGAGCTTTAAACGACACCAGACGATGAATAAGGATCTTATCTAGGACCCTTCGAGTCATGACTCGAAAAAAGATTTGTTCATTTTGATGAACGAGTTCGAACAGGAGAGTCACGAACGCTCATCACAGAACAGAGCAAGGCGACCATTTGTGCTTATAAAACTTAAACTTTTTCATTTATTTTTTTAAATGAGTGACCGTTTCGCTAGATAAGACCCTTATTCATCGTCTGGTATCATTTTAAAGCCCTTTGAACAGTTTCCACTGAAAGTGTCTTTTGGACCTTGAACCGTTTGGTTCCCAATGAAGTCCATTATATGGAGAAAAATGCTGGAATGTTTTCATCAAAAACCTTAATTTCTTTTCGACTGAAGAAAGAAAGACATGGACATCTTGGATGACATGGGGGCGAGTAAATTATCAGCAAAAGTTTTTTTTCTACTCCTTTAAGGAACATATGATACAAAGGGTGTCAGGTCTTATGAAATGAAATAAAATTATGACAAAAACAGGATGACGATTATTACATAGCTGTGCAGCTCTCTTACTGTAAAGAATAAATGTCAAAGTTCGCTTTGCCATTTGAGATGTTTTGCATGATATCTAGTACAAAATATTATGAGACATCCAACATCAACAACAGCAACTGAAATCAAATAATATAAAATAAAAAAGCTGATCGTACTTAAAAAAAATGTTTGCAGAAACTATTAAACTGTGTTTCAGTTTCTGTGCTGGTGCTTCCTTTATGGAGCTTATTAAATATGGTTAATAGCAGAACAGATATGGGCCAGCTTCACAAATGATGTAGGTCAGATACATTTACAAAATGACTGAAAGATAAGGATAATTTCTGTCTCCAATTATGAAGAGTTAACCTGTTTGAAATAAATATAGCAAGATTAACTTTTAAAATATCATTTGATTCAGCAGAGATGTAAACAAAATGAAACAGAAAGTTACAAGCACATGTCAAAGTTAGAGAGTCTTGCGAAGAGTCAAAAGTTAATTCTCACCCATGAAAAATCTTGAAGTCAACTTTGCCTCTGGCGCTCAAATAGAAAATTGCCTAATTGATTTAATGGCCCATGTATCAAATTGAATTATAGAAAGTGCGTTATTGGAATGTGTAAAATAAAATAAAATAAAATAAAATAAAATAAAATAAAATAAAATAAAATAAAATAAATAAAATAAAATAAAATAAAATAAAATAAAATAAAATAAAATAAAATAAAATAAAAAAATAAAATAAAAAAAAAATAAAATAAAATAAAATAAAATAAAATAAAATAAAAAATAAAATAAAAATCTCAACAAAGTCTCATGAAAATAAAATAAAAT